CTATTTAAAGAGCTCGCTGTTCCTGGCCTTGCTGCTAGAGCATTGCCAGGATGCACAAACCCTTTCAACTGCTTCTTTTTAAAGGGCTTGCACATTCCCTGCAGTTGCCAGGCAATGTATTCCCCGAAAGGCATGGGGAAGGTGTGAGCCCTTTAAATAGAAACAGTTAAAAGGGCTTGCGCATCTCTGGTTCCCAGACAATGTGCTAGAGGGCAGGGGTCTGGAACTTCCGTGCGGGTTGGATCAAAGCCTTAGGTGAGCTGGGTCCGGCCTGTTGAGAGGGTTTTGCCCACCCTTGCCTTAGAGCTAGTGTGATTTAGATCAGCTGAGAATCTGATATTTTGTTTGCTGTGAACTGAGTTTTAACTGTATCACCTATTATATCATTTTCTAGATGAGACTGTAAATTAATTTGTTAGCCAGAGTGGTGGCTTGAAGTTATTTTGGGGTGAACATCAGGAGATAGGGATTCATTGCAAAAATATACAGTAGGCTGAAGAGGACGAATAGGAACAGCTCCCAAGCATGGCCATATTGGGTCAGACCAAAAGTCCATCTAACCAAATATCCTCTCTTCCAACAAAGACCAATGCCAGAGTACCCTTGAGGAAATGAACAGAGCAGGTACTCATCAAGTGATCCAACCCCTGTTGCCCATTCCCAGCTTCCCAGAGGCGAGGAACATCATTCCTGCCCATTACGGCTAATAGCCATTGATGGACCTATCCTGCAGAAAATACCTAGTTCATGTTCCTGTTATAGTCTTAGCCTTCACAACATCTTCTGGCAAGCAGTTCCACAGATTGGCTATGTGTTGTGTGCAAAAATACTTCCTTTTGTTTGTTTTAAACCAGCTGCCCATTAATATCATTGGGTAATCCCTAGTCCTCCTGTTATGTGAAGGAGCAAATAACACTTCTTTATTTACTTTCTCCACACCAGTCATGATTTTATAGACCTCTTTCATCTCTCCCCTTAGTTGTCTGGTTTTGCACCCTTAAACGTCCCAGTCTTACTTCTCTCTTTACAATGACAGTCATTCCATATCCTTAATCATTTTTGTTGCTCTATTCTGAACATTTTCCAGTTCAAATAAACCTTCTTTGAGATGAGGTGACCATATCTGTACAATATATTCCAGATGTGGGCATAGCATGGATTTATATAGTGGCAATAAGTGGCAAAAAAGGCTTTCTGAAAATAAGTGCACTAAATCCATTGGATTCCCCTTCTCCACATGCTTATTGCCCTTCTCAAAGAACTCTGTTAGATTGATCAGGCGTAAATTACCGTAACAAAAACCCAGTCTGAAATGAACTATAGGAAATTAATGATCAAGACCTATAAGAGAGCATTTTTTTAAAAAAGCTGTTATATTAGTTATCCTCCAATTATTTGATAAGTGAAGCTGATTTAAATGATAGATTACAAACTGCAGTGAGTAGTTTTGCAATTTCACATTTGAGTTCCTTCAGAAGTCCTAGGTGAACAATAACTGGTCCCAGTAACTGTTTACTGTTTAGTTTATCAATTTTTTCCAAAATCTCATCTAATGACATCTCAATCTGGGATAGTGCCTCAGTCGGGCCATCTAAAAAGAATGGCTCAGGTTTGGGAATCTCCCTCACAACCTCAGCTGTTGAGAGCAGTGCAAAGAATTAATTTAATTTCTTCACAATAGACTATTGTCCTTTAGCATTTTGATCATCCAGTGGCCCCACCGATTGTTTAGCAGGCTTTGCTTTCATTTTGAAGACACTGGAAGAAGAGCAGCTCTAAGTCCCCAGTTCACTTAAACATGTGCCTTAAACTTTAAGCATGCATACTTTAATGGGACTACTTGCATAGTTAAACTTTGACACATGCCCATAATGATGAATGAAGGTAGTACTTGGGGGGTAAGTTATCAGTACACACACTTCTGCAACCTAACTGTTGTAAATGGAAATTTAATGACATATGTTCTGATATTTCTACATCCCAGGTAATCCTTATAATCTAAAAGTTAAAATCTCATCCTTTTGCTCACATTCTTCCCAACCTGAGTCTGTTGTGCACATACTTTGGGAAGTGTCCTGAAATAAGAGCCTGCTGATCTTAGCTGGTTCATAACAAAATCCTTCCTCTTCCTTTTTAGAGTAATCCTCCGTTGTATGTGTGTGGAAGTATACCCACAGAATTAACCAATAATAAAGAAAGATGTGTTTTTAACTGGGGCAGTCAGTTTGTACATTGTGGCATGGAGAAAAAACAGCCTTAAGATTTGTATTTAGAAATATGGGTTTAATTTGTGTGCTGTTCCTTTCTTTCAATAGAAGAAATACAACCATAAATAGAAATTTAAGTGAACCAGATGTCTGTTTGCCTTAAATTGTGAAAAATAATTTCCTGGGACACGCTTTACCCCACTGATATTCTTTCCCCTTTAATTTGCCATATTTGTGTATAACTTTTTAGGGTTAGATCTTGAGTGCGTTGACCTTGGTGACAACAGGTCTGAGAGACAGTCTGTTGAGGTCTGTGTAATGACTCCTACTGATTTGTATTGTTTTTGGTCTACGGCTGGTCTGAGTAAATGTTTCCTACCTACACTACGGCAAATAAACCTGTTGAACCTCTTCAAGTCATGCAACCACTTTGAAATCAACTTAGTATAATAAAAGTGTGTTTGAATGTGTGGGTCCGTTGTTATCTAACTACTTTTCTGAATAACTCACATCAACCTATTTCTTTTCTGTTATATTTACAGTACATGATGTACTACAGGAGACACATAATTATTGCATGCTTTGCATTACTCAAGTAGCACATTGGAGAAACAAAAACATTGCTACAGATGTTAGTCTTTAACCAAAGCAGCACTTTTATTGCATTTAATTATGGCTCTTAACCTCTGCCTTTATAACAGCAACTCGAGTGCCTGAAATTGCTAATATTTGTAGCAGCCAGAACCCTTCATTTTACCTTGACCTGCATGCACCTGTCCAATTGAAGGGAAATGCAAAACAAAACAAATTAATTTGATTCTTGGAAAATCAGACTCCCACTAACAACAATTTTCCTTCCTTCTGTCCATTGTCTTTCTTCTGTCCTTGCACTGCCCACTCTGACTAGGATTTGTGGTTTTTATCATGTAACCTCCATCTAATGACCTTTTTGAATCAAGGACCAGTCTTTCCATATGCTAGTAGATAAAGTGCTATGCACAGCTGAATAAATAAATTAAATATTGTCACCAGAGCTAGGGAAATTGATAATTAGCAGATTGTTACTAATAGCTGATTCAAATATGATAGAAGAAAATACAGAATTATAGGATACTAGAACTAGAAGGGACCTTGAGAGGTCATCAAGTCCAGTACCCTGAACTCACAGTAAGACCAAGCACCATCTAGATCATCCTTGTTAGACATTTAACTCTTATGTTCTTAAATATCTCCAATGATGGAGATTCTACAGCCTCCTTATGCAGTTAATGGCAGTGCTTAGCTATCCTCACAGTTAGGAAGTTTTTCCTAATGACCCAACCTAAACCTCTCTTACTTCACTTTAAGCCCATTGCTTCTTGCCCTGTCATCAGACATTAAAGAGACATTAATTTTTCTCCCCCCTCCTTGTAACACTTTAAGTCCTTGAAATATGCAACTCTGTACTACACACCTGTGGGTCAGACAAAAGATCCATCTAGCCCAATATCCTGTCTTCCAACAGTGGCCAATGCCAGATTCCCCAGAGGGAGTGTACAGAACAGGTGATCATCAAGTGATCCCTCTCCTGTCATCCATTTCCAGCATCTGACAAAGAGAGGCCAGGGACACCATTCCTATCCATCCTGGCTAATAGCCATTGATGGACCTAACCTCCATGAATTTATATAGTTCTATTTTGAATCCTGTTAGTCTTCTTGTTTAAGAGCCAGTCTTGGTTGGTGACAAGATCTTGCACCGGGTTTTGTTGTATCACTTACTCTTCTACTTGGACTTCCTAACTTCCTAATTTTCCATGGTTCTGCATGAACCCATAGATAAAGGAGAATAATTTTTCTAGTGTCCCAGCAATTTGCCAAGTCAAACCATAATTGACAAACCACTATCCTCTACACTTGTTCTTTGCTACTATTCATCTCCAGGAAGTATTCGTGGACCCTTAGATCAGATATATTTCTCTTCTTTGCATTGTCAGAGGGAGGTCCTTAAAATTCCTTACAGAACAGCTACGAAGATCACGTAACACTACTGTCTTGGCTTGAATTGCCAGTCACAATTTATCTGCTAATCCAGTGTTGCAGTCTTACAAAGAGGGTAGAGTTTTTCTGTTTAAAAATAAAAAGACTTTTTTTTTTTACCATTCCTGTACTTAATTTTGCTCTCAATTATACAGATATGGAAGTAACAGTAAAAAAAAGTATGATTTAGTCAAGAGTTTTTAAAACTTAATCGAACAGGTCCTTACACATGGAACTCCCATTGAAGTGGGTGGAAGTTTTACAGATTTGAGTCTAATTAGACTTTATTCTCTGTACAGTTTTCAAGATTCACTTATAAAGTTTCAGAACAAAATTGTGTAATATCCTGGGAAATCTTATTTTTGCATTGTACTCAATTCTTCTGCCTAAAGTGTGCACACTTCATCTCCCTGGAGATGACAAAGGGCTCAAGAAGGATTATGTGAAGTAATCTAATAAAAATTAACAAAAATGATAACTCACACCCTAAAACAAGTATATTTAGATATCAAAACCTTAGGTATTGGACTCAGACTTCTGAGACTATAGATGAATGTTCTTCCCACATGCCTATGTACTATTTAAATATCAAATATATCAAGGTAGATATAACATAGCTCAATGCATCTACTGTAGAGTATTGGATGCAATGGTAGAATTTTTGAATATTATCACACTGATTAAATGAATTAAACATTTAAGTGACTCTATCTGAAAGTGACATCTGATTAATGTCATGGAGAAAAATCATGTATCTTTTTTTCAATTTGTTTAGGTACGTGTATTCACATTTTCTGTTGGTCAACATAATTATGACAAAGGACCCATACAATGGATGGCCTGCCAAAATAAAGGTACAGTGTATATATCTCTGATCTTACACCTATATAAAGCTTTGATTACCCCCACAGAGTATCTAAACCATTCTTTAGGTGTCTCACACACTACCGATTTAAAATCCTTAGCCTGGTGTAAAAATTAATTGTGAGGCTTTGAATCAGGACTCCAAATAGTGATTTTTTAAAACTTTTAATAGAACATTGGTTCTACTACTATTATTGATCTTATTTTATAGAACTATTACTAATGGCCTCAGCGTTTACTATTTACAAAATGAGAGTGCTGTAAAAAACAGACCTCTTTTCACAGATGTATTTGATTTAAGATTTTTGTAGTAACTTTTGGGAGGTGGGGAAATCTCTTCCACATTTATTCAAGTCTGAGGTGTGTTAATTACCAACAGTTACTGAAGTGATAACTGAATGTGAGCATGTCCATTTTTCCTTGAACAGATTTAAGGAACTGAACTGAATAATAGAAAAAAATATAAGAATAATTTTTGGTACAATTCATAGCAATAACACGTGCATTTATACCAGGGGTGGGCAATACTTTTTCATGGGGGGCACACCAAGAATTTGGAAAGTGGTTTAGGGCCACACTCTTCCAAGATATTAATGGAGGAGGTATGGGGTCTGGGAAGGAGGTTAGGTACAGAAGGGAGCTTAGGGTAAGGGAGGGAGTTTTGGTGAAGGACGTAGTTGTGTCTTGAGGCACTGGACTGGGGTGCAGGGAGTTGGATTATCACCTAGATCAGGGAATTGTGGTACAGGAGGGGCTGCAGGAGTTTGGGTTGTGAGCTAGGGCAGGAGGGGACTGTGATCTGGGGCAGAGGATTGGGGTATCGGATCTGGAGAAGGTATGATTGCAGAGGATTTGGGTATGTGGAGTAGGGGGGTAGGAGTGGAGGGGCAGAGGATTGTGGAAGGGAGGGGCTGGGTTCCCAGAGGCAGGCTCTGGCCAGGAGACCATTCCTGAATCTGCCTCCCTGCCTGCCCCACTCCCTCGCAGGCTGCAGCCATATGCTCTGTGAATAATTATGAACATAGCAGGGCTCGACAAACCACAGCAAAATCCACTCGCCAGCCCCACACTGCACATGCACCAGACCGGCATTGTGCATGTGCGCGCTGCCAGTGAATGGGGCGACCGGCTGAAATCTACTCGCCACGGGCGAATAGATACACTGATTTGTCGAGTCCTGAACATAAGAATGACAATACTGGGACAGACCAAAGGTTCATCCAGCCCAGTATCCTGTCTGCTGACAGTGGCCAATGCCAAGTGCCCCAGAGGGAGTGAGCCAAACAGGTAAAATGATCAAGCCATCCATCTTCACCCTCTGAAAACCAAAAGTTAGGGACACCATTCCTTACCCAACCTGGCTAATAGCCATTAATGGCCTTAACCTCCGTGAATTTATCTAGTTCTCTTTTAAATCCTGTTATAGTCCTAGCCTTCACACCCTCCTTAGGCAAGGAGTTCCACAGGTAGACTTTGTGCTGTGTTTTAAACCTGCTGCCCATTAATTTCATTTGGTGGCCCATAGTTCTTATATTATGGGAACAAGTAAGTAACTTCCTTATTTACTTTCTCCACATCACTCATGATTTTGCATACCTCTATCATATCCCCCCTTAGTCTCCTCTTTTTTAAGCTAAAAAGTCCTAGTCTCTTTAATCCGTCCTAACCCTAACCCATTCCAAACCCCTAATCATTTTAGTTGGCCTTCTCTGAACCCTTGTGCCCCTTGTGCTTTGTGGCTGCTTGTTATTGAAACAGACAGCTCCCATTGGTCAGTTTCTGGCCAGAAGCTGGCCACTGTGATTGTGCTGGAGGTGGGAGCAATTCCTAAAGCTTTTTCCTCTCCCTTCCTGGTTCAGTTTTTAAAGTGAAACTGCCTCACAGCCACGTTTCTGAGCAGCATATGCACGGGGCGAGGAAAGCGTAGAGCCTACCTGGGGCTCCCCACAGTGTCCTTGGGCCAGATCTGGTAGCTTGGTGATCTGGATCCAGCCCACAGGCCTTATTTTGCCCAATCCTGATTTATACAGACTCCAACTGTGGAAACTGAGTTGAGGTAATCAGTTATCTAAATCTTCTTACTGGGATATTTTATCAAGCTGAGCCTCAGTCTTAACAAGCAAGAAGACCTGGCAAATGTGGCAGAATTTTAGTAGAGTGATCAAATCTGGTAGAGATGTTTCAATTCTTGATTATCATAAATTCAAGCCTGAGGAAGTAAAGGTTAATATTTGCCCTAAAAGATCTAATTGAAATATAAGTTACATTTATATCAGTGTACCTTTCAGAAATTTTAACTCTTACTTCGCTCCAATTTTGCCCACATTCCCAGCGGCTTCTGCTCCACATTCCCTGGCTCTGTCTCAGATACAGTATGCCCATTCCCTCTATACTGACCCACCTCTCAGCACCCAGGCATTGCATGGTGTGGCAGAGGTCACAGTTAGTCCCAGACTCTGCATTTGGAGAGGAGGAAAGGAGATGCTGATCGCTGTTTAAGTTCCTTTATAAATCTATAGCTTGGTCTGTAGGTCTGGATGAGAGCTCTGTGAACTGCAAAATACTTCTAAATGGAGTGTATAAGCAATTGTCTACCTTTCAATCTTAAAACTGATTTCCTAGAGAGGCTTATTATTCTATTTCAATGTGTCTATTTTAAAGTAAGCAGTAATACTGAGAAAAATTAGGCATAATAACCAAATCCAGCCTTAATTGATGACCTGGGAATACAACTTTTGAAGCTACTGTGACAATAAACATCATCAAAAGCTCCATGATCACTCCATTCCATTTGAAGAAGTGATATGAGTAAAGATCAACTAGCTATATTTTTGTAAAAGAGATTTCCAAATCTACTGGCGTGTAAAATACTAACAATATTCTAAGATATTTAGAAAAATGAACCAAAATTGAAGCATGATGAGCTGAAACTTTTTTTTTTAGCATCTGTTGAAGTATTGGCTAGTGGGCATGCTGAAATTATGAGATTACTTTTCATCTCCAACAAGGAAGAAAAGTCAAAGTATTAAATATAAGGTTTTGATTTTAAAACATCGAGAAGAACAATTTGACATTTTTATGAAACAGCATATTTTGTTTCAGAATTATAATTTGTAATGAAACATTTTGTTTTGATATACTGAATTTTTCAAAATTTCTTATTATCAGCATGTTCATTGTCTCAAATTCTGAAATGCTGATTTGAAACAAATTGTAACATTTATGTTAAAATCAGAAAAAAATATTGAATGTGCTAGTCAACAATTCTTACTTATCTCTAATAATAGTGAAGCGTAACTAATTATATGTTTTGGAAAGTTTTTGTTTTGGTGAAAGATGAGATGCTGACATTAAGGACAGATTAGAAAAATTAAGCAAAAATCTTTCTAAAAATAGAGTATGCCAACATTTGTTATCCAATAAACAAAAAAATATTTGATATATTTCACAGTGTTCAATCTGATATATTTCACAGTGTTTCCTTTTATTTCCACAAAAAAAGTCAAAATGATTTAAGAAATAAAACAAAATAGAAATAATTGAAAAATGTGTTGATTTTTGTGTGGGTTTCCGCCTTTGTTTAGGGAAAAAAGGAGTGACAAGGGCTTTTTATGGATGGGAGATATTTTCTTTTACCTTTTTCTGTAGAAAATGGTACAGTATATTGTTTTGTGGGTTTTTTTGTTTTGGGGAGAAGGAAGGAAGGAAGAAAGATTTCCATCAACCATTTAAAAAAAAATATTTTTAAAATATATGTTCAAAATTTTATTATTCAATAATATTTGTATGACAAGCTCCTTTTTTTGCTGAAAATATTATTGTATTCAAAACCCATCATTTTGTCCACATTTCTCTTTCACTATCTTACCACCACATACATTCCTGAACACTAATTGAAAGATAGATGTAGAAACCAAGCTGACGCATTTTTAATCACAAACAGGGGCAACAAGGTGGTCATATAATAGTATGAATTTCTAGCTCCAAATTTACAGTAGACTACATGTGGTAAATTATATTGCCAAGAGCTACTGGGATAAACGGATCTTAGAATGAAAAGTAAATGTACATTCTGCTTGATGAGAAAGCTATCAGTTTTTACACTCTTGAATTTTCAGATTCCCTTATCCTTTGGCTGCCCCCAAATAACTGTTGTTTTTATGTTTCTGGAATTGGTTTATCATGTGACTGCCTCCTATTATCCCACTTAAATAAAAGTCTCACCTTACTTTTTTCTTGTGTTATTCCAGTTTAGATCCAATGCTGAGAAGTAATGGGCACTGTTGTTATTTGTAATATCATAGCTCAAAGTGCCCTACTTCTGCTCCAAGGCCACATTGTGGCAAGCACTTCACAAACATAGAACAAAAAGTCTCCACCCCAAGCAGCCTACAATCTAAATACAAGATGGGACAGAACAAATGAACTAATGAAATAATATTGGTCAATATGACATGAGTTATCTGTGCACAATAGGGGACCAACAATTTTCAAGTTTTTGCAGATATCGTGGCAAAGGAAAACTTAGAGGGTTTTCAAGAAGGATGATTTTTGCAAATGTTTGAGTGGAATTTATCCCAAGCTAGAGGGCACAAAATGGGAAAAAGCATAAAGGTGCTTGCTTATGAATGATGGAGGCTGGCATGATGGGCCTATCAGAGGAGGGAGATAAGATTTTGATAATAAGACAGAGAGGACAGTGAGGGCAGGTTGTGAAGGGCTTTGAAAGTGAAAACAAGGCAGCTAATATTTGATATGTACAGCCCTGCCCAGATACAAATTTATATCTGTGGATATAAATCAGTCTCCATAGAACCACTGGGCTCTCCCAGGAACTGCAGCAGTGAAAGGAAGCAGAGTGTGGGTCCACATCTCCCAGCGGCCAGCAGCACCACATGATGGCAACTTGTCTAGTACAGATGTACTGCCCACGGCCTAGCCTTGCCCCTGTCCATTGCACACAGCTGCCTGTGTCTCCTGTCTGAGGCCGTGCACACCACTTGAACACAAGAAAATAACCAGGGACAGCTGCTGGTGAGCCTGGCACTCACCCCAGTGGGCAGGGATGGGGGTGGTACAACCTCGTCAGAGAAGTTTCCCTCAGGGGGTGCTGGCTCTTCATCTGCAGGTATAAGCTTGTATCCATGCAGGGGTCTATTGATGTGGTAGACAAAGTGAACACATTCAAAAAGAGGACTGAAAGGGTGCGCCTGCACGACATCCTTAGCGCGAAATAAGATACGCAATTTGCGCTGTGCAAATTGCGTATTTTATTTTGATTCAATTTTGAAATAGGCTATTTCGAAATTTGGCACATCTACACAGCACCAAATATTGAAATAACACACTATTTTGATATCCCTTCCCTCGTGGAACGAGGTTTACAGGGATGCTGAAACAGTGGATCGTTATTTCGTAATAGGAGACACGTTCAAAAGACGCGGGGTAGCTATTTCAAAATAGCCTTGCAGTGCAGATGTACCAAAAGAGGCAAAGTGATAGGATAGCAAAGGGATCTTTGCAGCAGCATTTTGAAAAGAGGCAAAGTGATGGGATAGCAAAGGGATCTTTGCAGCAGCATTTTGAGTGAATATGAGCAGGGCAAGATTACATTTATTAATACGTGGAAAAAAAGGATGTTGCACTAATTGAGATATGAGGTAATGACAGATTTAATGGGCTGTTTGCATAGAAGGTGTTGTATTTTACAGAGAATATGCAGAAAGAAACTGCAAGATTTATAGAGAGCTTACATGTTAGGACTTTATAGAAAGGTCAGAATTGGAAATGATGCCCCTGACACAGGCTTGAGTGATGTACAGGATGGTTCTGTGTTCCATATGGATTGAGGGTTTGTGGGGGAAAATTAGGAGCTCTTTTAGTCATGTTGAGCTTGAGGTGATATCCACAGAGAGTTTGCAATACAGGTGGAAATTGTAGATTTGCTAGAGATAGCTCTGGAGGAGAGAGAGAGAGATAAGTGGATCTGGAAGGCAGAAGGATAAAGCTCATAGCTGAATTTGTGTTTTTAGAAATTACCAAGGGATAAAGTGCAAAGGGATCCAGTATATTTGACTCCTTACTCTTCACTCCTCAAAATTTGACTTCTCATGTGTAGGTAAAACTTCTTAAGAATGGTGGTTATTGGCAATGGCAGATGAGGTATTATTAGTAAAAGGAAAAGATTATTATTGAGATTTTTTCCCCACTGTTATTTTTAGAGCGATTGACTTCACTTAGTGATAATAGCATATGATTATCAATTTTTTTGCTTGTTTTCCAAATTGATTCCCACTCTGTTACCTGTTTATGTTTAAGAGCAATCAATAGATCATTATAACATAATTATAAGATAAGTTATTATAGGTGATTAAGATATATGTTTGCCTCTTGGGTTAGATGTATTTGGGATTTTATCAATTTGCAGATGCAAAGAAACTGGCAAAGGTTTTCTTTCTTTCTTTCGTTCTTTCTTTCTTAGAATGTTAGGAATAGTCACGTTGTGAACAGTTACTTTTCTCCACCTTCCTCTGCCCTCCCTACTACTTGTAATTGATAGTCTGTAGTCTGATTGGATCATGACTTGTTATTGCTGCTGTATTGTGGGCCCTCAGTCATGACTGGGACCTTTGGCAATGTTATAATGGAAATAAATAACAATAGTGAAGATGATGAATGAATGGGCACCGCTAATATTTTGTGAGAGAATATGTCAAATGAATGTTTTCATTCTTATCACACAATAAGCATGGTTTTATGCTGTGGATGAGTTCACTTGATTGTAAAGGCAAAGTAGATTTTAATTGGTTTTAGACCTGTATTTAGCATATAATTGTACTGTTGTCACTACTTATTGCTATACCTATTTAATATGTTTATTCAAAATAGCTGCAAGTGCATGGGGAAATGCATCAAAATTCAATTTCTTTCATTTGGAAAAACACAAAGGTTACAAAGCAGCTTGTCTTTGCTTAGGAATAGCTAGCATGGAGTACATATGGTAATGGCACAACTTACATGACCATGCATTGTTATGAATTCTAATTTAAAATTGAGGCATATAGGGTCTTTCGTGAAAATGCTTTTAAGAGACTGTCCATAATTATTGGAAGCAAACGAGATATGGAAATAGAATTTTTTATTTCAAGTGCTCTCAGATGAGGAGCATAGCATTCTAAGGCAGCAATATATTATTGTGTCTTTTATGTATTTTAGGTTACTATTATGAAATTCCTTCCATTGGAGCGATAAGAATAAACACACAGGTAAGCCTGTAGTGCTTGCAAACTTTCAAGTACACTCATAAGTCATAGAAATGCTGTAATGATGGTTAAAAAATTACAAGATTACTCTTGGTTTTCCTTAACTACAATGAAACACACCACCATTTTTAGATAAATAGAGTAAATCTTGATATCTCTGTAAATACATGTACTATCTAACAATGGTGAAATATTCTTTCACGTTGAAGAATTTAATATACAGATGAACTAGACTGAAATCCTTGTTTTCTGTATCTGTATGAAAATTTGTGATATTCAAATGAAAATCTCACTTGAGCAGTCTTTCTTGTGACATTTTTGAAAATTCCTGAATCTGGTTTCTCAAGAAATAATAAAATAGAAGCCATTTTGTCAATTCAGTTTTCAGAGTCAGACATGATGTAGTAGGCACAAAATTTATAAACTCTGGTTATGATTACAGGCCTTTTATTTTACATGACTGTGTTAAAGTATCCGTGAAAGTAACCACATACGGTGTGTCTAGACTACACCTCTCTGTCCTGAAAGTAACCACATAGCGTGTGTCTAGACTACACCTCTCTGTCAACAGAGAGATGTAGATTAGGCACATCGAAATTGCTAATGAAGCAAGGATTTAAATATCCTGCACCTCATTAGCATAAATATGGCTGCCACTTTTTTCAAAACGGATTTTTTTTTTAAAAGGCAGTCTAGAAAATAAACCCTTTTTTTGACAGATCCTGTAAACCTCATTTTTTGAGGAATACAGGATCTGTTGAAAAAGGCTTTATTTTCCACACATCTGCATCTAGACTGCCTTTAAAAAAAAAGAAACCCCTCCATTTTGAAAAAAGTGGCAGACATGTTTATGCTAATGAGGTGCGGGATATTTAAATCCCTGCTTCATTAGCAATTTCGATGTGCTTGATTAACATCCCTCTGTCAACAAAGGGATGCAGTCTAGATGTAACCATAGACAGAATATTCTCGACTTGTCCAGAAGAATATAGTTGTAAAGTGAAACAAATGTGAAGGTGACCACTCATAAACCAATACAGAACATTTACCTCTCTTAGATCCCCATCTCAGCCCAAGATCCCCATCTCAGCCCAAGGAAGACAGGAGCAGCTCTAAGTTCTAAAGCTATTGTTTCCAATAGGTAATGCCCTGTGCAAGACCCTGCAATGGAAGAAGAGCATGCATTGTTGTTAACCTGATGTTTCAAACCTAGTATTTACAACCACAGTGTTTACAGTTCCAACCAAAAATCCTTATGAACTGCCTCTGTCTGTTGTTAGCATCATCTAGATCAATTAACTCGCACATCCATAGTTTCTTTAATGTTAAAGAGCTTTAGATCTTTTGGTTGTCCAATTTGTGCTGGAAAAAATGTGGGAGATTTGTCTTGTTCCACTTTCCCCATTCTTTTTTTGTGTTATGGTTCTATAACAAGAAGACAGTTTAGTGGCTCCAAATAAGTGAAACAACTGCAATTAAACTTTCTGTGCATGCACAAGCACATGACTGCTATGGCCTTAACAGAACATTGTGCGTACTTGCTTACTGTCAAATCTTGGGCAAAGTGCCTGAAAGCTGTTCTGCCCTTTGCAAATCAGTCCACTGTGGCTTTCTACTGATAGGTCCAGAAACAGCTACAGACTAGATTTACCACTCCTGAAGGCAACGAGAATTATCAAACAATTTGATCATTCATTCATCATTCATGTTTCCTGCATTTCATCTGTGCAGAATCTAGATATGAGTAGTACCTTGAATCCTTGGCTCTACAGGACCACTGAATGTGCTAAAAATGTGATTCACATTCTACTCCTGTATGCACCTTTCATGCTATTGTCAACACTAATAATTCCAAAAGTGATAGGAATTATTTTCCAAAGACAGCTGGAACCATGAAGACCTTACTATAGCTATTAGATCTGATGGTGACCACCGAATTTATAATTTATATATCACAAAACTAGAGCCCTGCAAATCTGTGGGTATCCACTTTATATCCATGGCAGATATGGCTGAAGATATAAATTTTGTATCTAGAACTCTGTGAATTTGCAGAAATCAGCTTTATATCCGTGGATAGCTGTATCTGTAGATGGGGATACAGATATTTGTGGTTTATTTATGTGGATGTGGATACAAATTTTGTATCCATGCAGAGCTCTACGTACATCAGTGGACCCTGAAATCGTAGTAGTGTCAAGCTACACAAAGACTTTTACGTCGCACTTGGACAATATGTGAATTCCAATAATTTTCACTTGAGCCAGTTCAGTGGATGTTTTTAAGGAGGACAATATTTGCCATTTTCAATCATTCCAATCAGTTCAGTGGATGTTTTTAAGGAGGACAATATTTGCAAATGTCTTCTTTCACACTGTAGTAGATATATTTATGATTAGGAAATTCACAAAAGGAGGGAAGGGAGTTACACTCAAAATACCTGGCCTGTCCAAGAAGATCTTTGCACATTAGTTTTATGGCTGTAAAGTAAGACACTCCTGAGTACACTGAGGACAATCAGGCTGCCTCCTTTTATATCAACTAACAAAGAAAATCTAGGACTAAGCCTCCTGTATCAGGAAGCCCTGCAGACTTCAGTTGTAGACGGTACTGTACAAGATGTTCCCAATGGTTACTTATCAGGCAGGGAAGGAAAATTATTGGCAGTGTTCCATAGTGAACCCATAGGATTCACTGTGGGTTAATATCGCTGGATCAACATATAGTATATCTGTCTAATTTGTCTGTCATAAGTAGTTCCAGTACACCATCTCGCACTGTTTCTGAGTAGACACAATGGGTTGGTTTTCTCTCAAGTAGGGCAAAGGGTTCTGTTTGCAGCATCTCTGAACAACAAACAATTGGTTTTCTGCACAATACAGTAGGAAGCAATATCTTCTCTATCTATTGGTGAGGGAAACTCAGACATATCTTTCCTTCACTATGTCATGTATATCTTTCTTTCATTTCTGGTGTTAGCCAATTTCCAGGGCTCAGGAGAAAGGCAAATCCTTATTCATGTCCCACTCACAAACTGCTGGAGAGTTAGCTTCTTCTTGATTGGTATTGTTCACATGGTTTGACTTTCCTCACATTTGAAATCTTTTGTTGTTACCAGTTTTTTATTATTTTAGAAGCATCGCTGGATCTTTTCAGTAGTGGTGATCTCTCTGTGAAGTGACTTTGGAGATGGTGCTTATTGGTAATTACTCTCTGAAGGTCTACATCATAACATATAACAAATAACATACACCATTATTCCCCCATGGAGTTGAGGTTTCTGCAGTGTTGTCATATTATTATTACATCTAAAATTAATTTTTATAGATTTATGTTCCAATGGAGGCACTGACTCAGAATATCCCTTGTTGAAACATTTGTGGTATGTAGTGCAGACCCAAATGTGATTGGCTTTAATGTACACCTTCAGAGAACAATGAGTATAAATATTTTCTATTATATCACTGATGCTGAAATCATGGCCTTATACTGACTTCACTTTATTTTTTGTCATGTATTTTGTTTTCTTCCTGGTACTATTTTTAAATTTTGATAAGATAATGACTTACCTCTGTTGGGCTTCTTGCTTTATTTTGACAGGAATATTTGGACGTGTTGGGAAGACCAATGGTTTTAGCTGGAGATAAAGCAAAACAAGTCCAGTGGACCAATGTGTATTTGGATGCACTGGTGAGAAAAGAAAGCATATCATTTTACTATAAAGCATTTTGAACTGTACATATTTTAATATATCCATTGCTTTTAATCATAAAGAAAGAACTTTGCAATGCTCAGCATTGCATAATTTATGCAATGCATAAATTATGCAATGCATAAATTATGTCAATACTTTTATGAACTGTATTCTGGATAAAGCAGCATATTTTGTATGTATGGAAAACATTTATAAATGAAAGGGTTCTCCCATTTCTGTCCACAACCTAAAAAAAGACTCAAACGCCTACATCTCAAAATATAACATAACTGAATTGTCATAAAGGAGCTTTCTGAACTGCTATTATTCCCCTGAGCTGGACATTTTCTGTCCTTGCTATCTTTTATCATTTTCTTCCAGTATAATGACATGAATAGGAATGTGATTTGTTCCAGGAATATGTCTCACACAGAGATCTCTAAATGCAGTTCCCTGCTGACATAAAACAAACAAATGTCAAAATTTTTCTGTGATTATGGGATTCTACTCAGCAAAAGACCAGCTAAATTGTCTGGAGACCTTGTTCTGTGAAAAAGTGCACAGTTGGTCAAAAACAACCAACTCATTTTCACATGACATGTGAACAGCATTTGGACTCCAGAGTTGCATGGTTGCAATTGCCCATTGTCTCAGCCAACAGCTTATTTAGTGAACTATTGTATGTGATGGAGGAAACAACCTAAAGGGCATAATCCAGTCCTTTCCACACAGCTAGTTTATCATTGGGGTCTTTTAAAACAAACAAATTCAGGAAACTATGAAAAGCTAAGTATTATTGGCAGCAGTAAGGACTGCTGAAGTAGATAAACTTGCTGTACGTACTTCTAATCATGCTGAAATTACTGTAAAATGCGCATCTAAAATCACATATTTATCCAAGTTCAAATAGTCATCTAGTGTCATGTCAAAGTCCACTTTTTCCTGTCCGCATTACCGTAAAATATCTATTTTTATCAGTCTATCATAGAACAGTGTGCAACATAGAGGAGAAAGTTTTGTGTTATTCTAGTTTTCATAGCCAGAAGTTCATTGACCACATTTTGTTGACTGTTGTTGAGGTATTTACTGGAAATATGAAGGATGTTATGAGGAAAGTTCATATGTTCCGTACATATCCTGTTCTGAATTCAGAGCTAAATTTGTAACATGGTGTGGGAGGGGATCTGGTCAATTAAAGAAAAAGAAGAGGGGGTACCTGCAAATAACTATTGCATGGCTTTGTTTTCATTGGATTGCAAAAAGCTTTCACTCTGAGCCTTTCCTTAATGTCTTTGCCCATATGTGTAAACTAGCTAATCTTCTCTGTACCAATATAGATGAGGAGTTCTGTGGCACATTATAGACTAACAGATTTATTGGAGCATAAGCTTTTGTGGGCAAAGACCCACTTTGTTAGATGAACGTAGTGGAAATTCCAGAGGCAGGTATAATATAATATATCTGTTAGTCTATAAGGTACCACAGGACTCCTCGTAACTTTTGCAGATTCAGACTAACATGGCTATCCCCTGATACTTGTACCAATATACTGTAGTTAAGCAGAGATGGACTCCAAGTTGCATAATTCAGATCAAGACGAGCGTCCATGGGCTCAGTGCTTAGTTGAACTCAGCTCACAGGGAGGCAGAAATACAGGTTGAAACTCTCTATTCTGGCACTCTTTAGTCGGGCAGCATCCATGGGCCTGCATGATTTGTTACCTGGATGTCCACTTACCATGGTTTTGGCCAAGTTTCCTGCAGCCCCATAAAGTTTGCTTACAGCCGCCAGTCCTGGCGGTCAGTTTCTGTGCTCTTAGTTAGCTCTAGTGTACCCCTAAATGTCTTTTAAGAGGCCAGTAAGTAGTGGAAGTGTAGGTAATGCTTCTAGACAATATTAGCCTCCCATAGTTTTGCAATTTCTCTGGTTCAGCAATGGTCAGGTTCCCAGGATGCTATAGTAGAAAGGTTCAGCCTGTAGTTCTAAGTCATCTTCCTGCCTTATCTCTTCCTGGATAAATCAGCTAGAACAGCATCCTATGGGATTTTTCCTCCCATCCAGGCTCACTTAGAGCTTGCTGCACTGGGGAAAGGTGAGCCATAGAACAGGGATTCCCCAATTATGTCTTCAGGGGTTGCTTCATGTCTACTTGATGTCCCTTTTCTCCTTCTACTAGGTTTTGTGTATGTGTGTAAATGGAGCCTTCCCAAATGGAACCCCTTATCTTTCTGACAGATCCTTCTCCACCACCTCTCTTCTCTGTATTCCCTGACAGTTCCACTACATTTCTCTTCACCTGGGCTCACTGTCCCGGTGTGATTTCTGACAATTCCTGCTTTCTGTAAGTCTAGCTTCCTGCTAAAACTGTCATTGTCACTTCTCTCTCTTTTATATGGTTTAGCTCTGTTTGACACTGCCAACATATCCAGAGTACTAAATATTTGTCATTTATCCCTTTGCCCATACTTTCCGGTCTCCTCACCTCACTCCGCACCCCCATCAATCTGTCCAAAAGTAATGTCATGTACAGAATGGATCAAGATGACCACCTGGTTGAAGGACTAATGGAAAAGAGTTTTCAGTGAGCACAGTTACGGAATAGTTTAGGATCTAATTTCTCTATTACTTCTCTCAAACCATGTAATCTCTTGCTGTAAATCTCTAAACAGCATTATCACACTACTCATCCTACTCAGTCTTCTTAACCTGAATTTTGTTATGCTACATAATCTGGCCCCCACCTTAATCTCTGCTCTCATTTCCTCCTACTCTCCCCTTTGCTCAGTATACATCACAATCTTTTTTCTCTTCTGCTGCCTTAATTTTTTTAATTCTCTGCTTTGCTTCATCTTGTGCTCCAGTACAAATCCACTCACATCTCCTTCAAATGCCTCTTTAAAATTCATTTCTTCCAGGAATAGCTCTCACTTTCCTCTCCCCCCAATAATTAGAGCCCTGAGCAGATACAAAATTAGTATCCACATCCGTATCTACAAAAATGAGCTGCAGATATCTGCATCCATATCTGCAGATACAGCTACAGATATGGATATCCACAGAGATCCGCAGATTTGCAGGGGTCCATTGATAGTCTCTCTAGACTCATCATAGTTTGTCTTCTCTGTTTTACACTAACTTCTGTGAACAGTATTTCGTTAATATGCATTTTTATGAATATTACTGGCTCTTTCATTTTATGTTAAGTCATAAGACTTTTCTCCAAGTAATTTCCTTAGCATCAGTCATCTAACTGCATTACGGTTATTAATTGTAGGCCATGTAGACATGCCCACAGTCTGTTCCTGTCTGGATGATGCAACTGAAATACCTTCACATAATGAGTGTTCTGGCTAAATTCTTGGCCTTATCACCTTCCAGAACATTATGTGTGGCAGTTATTTCACAGTGTGGTTAGTGTGCATCATTCCAGACATACTCCCTTTTTAAAGGGATTGCTTTTGGGAATTACATTAGTAAACAAGGGTGAGGCAATAAGTAACTTAACATGCCATTTTATGTTTCTGTATTGATTTGGCTTAATTCTTTTTCCTATCCCCTTGATTTAAGGAGAGGTTTTTTTTTCATACTTACTGCTAATTATATGTGAGAGAGAATTAATGTATAGGTATCAATTAAGTCTCATCGACCTACAGTTTTTTTGAATGACAATTGCATTCTAAAGTGTAGAACACCACTCATCTTAAAAATTGAGTTATTACCTGGGGCGAGTCTTCACCAGTAAATATATATATAATTTACATTTTTTACCCAGCTACAGTTGGAATTTATTATTCAGTTAATGGCTTTCTTATTTTTTAGCAAAACCGAAGCCCAGATTTTATGTGGTTTTTAAAAATGTAATAACGAATTAGTCTTCATTTATTTTAAAATTTATTTTAGTTATGGATTTGTTCTCCTCTTATGACTGTGTTCTAGGAACTGGGCCTTGTCATTACTGGGACTCTGCCTGTCTTTAATCTAACAGAAGATGCAGAAGGAAAAAAGGTAAGCTATTACTTAAAGCTGGAAAGTTTCAGTTGTTCTTTGAGAGCTTGTTCACGTCGATTCCAATCAGGTGTACTCATGTTTCATGCATGAGCACTGGAACGTTTTCCGCTAGCAGCTCCTGCATGGTCAGCTGTGGAGGCCCCTAAAGTGGTGCCGCTATATTAGCATGTATATACCTCTGCAGACCCTACCCCTCCCTCAGTTCCTTCTTACCAGCCGTGATCATGTTGGAACCTCCTAGTTGTGTTGCTTTGGCAAGCTCTTAGTTCCTAGAAAATATTGATCTCAACTCATCTTCCGTCTTCTAATTCAAACAACTTTAAGAACAGGTGGGCAAATGCCCAAGGACAGTCAGCCCCTCTGAGTCACAGGGGTATGCCTAATGCCCTAGGCTTTACGTTGTGCGCTATGTGCGAACGGCCTGTGGCCTAACAGCCACCCTCACGATGCGTACCTTCACTGTTTAGGTGAAGAACACTGGATTAAGAAGTGCAAAATCTGCAGGAGTTTCAAGCCCCGTACCAGGAAGGACCAGAAGTATAAATTCCAGCAGCTTCTCTTAGAGGTGGCACTGAAACCTCCCCGGGCTGAGTAATCAGCACCCAAGGCCAGCTTTGTGTGTAGCGCCCCAGCCTCTGTGCCAAAAGCAGGTGCCACCAAGGACTCCCGGCACCAGACCGTGGCACTGCGACACTATTCCACTTCAGAGCCGCGTGGCTGGAAAGAGGGCAGAGATAGACTGTCCTAGAATCCATGCCTGTGGCAGAACCAGGCATACTGTCAAGAGTCCCCCATGCGGAAGGTCCAGCACTTGACATCAACTCCAGCCTTGGGGGCCATGCTGTTGAGTCCAGCATGTGACCTGTCACTGGGACACACAAGTCCAGTTCAGGTGTTGAACTCCCTGTCAACATCTAACACTTATGAGGGCACTTGGGACCTCATAGAGATTTCAGAGACCGTGGTGCCTTGGGTGATGGATAAACCACTGGTACTGCTAAGATCAGTTCACTTGAGGGGCAAGCCAGCAATTCTGTGGTGCTCCCAGTCTCTGCAACAGCACTGGGACAGATTATCTTCTTTGTCCTCTGATAGGTCATCCCTGCCTTCATTGCATGCCACACCAGTGGCTCCAGTGGATACTCCAGCGCTGAGCCTCCAGCACTGAGCTCAAGAAGGAAGGGTGGAGATCCAGAGAGAGCAACGCTGAGTGAGCTACAATGCTCAGTGTTAAGGTTGTGTTCTTGGTCCCAGATTAGGTCAAGATTGAGAGGAAACTGGCACCGTTCCAAGTTTCGACTGTCCTGGTATCAGTCTAAAACTCTGAGGACGTCCATCTGCATGGCACCACACTGGCACTGACATCATTGGCACAGTCGGTCGGACCACTGCTGTGGTCATCACAGTCGGAATCGGAGCCCAACTCAATGTCAACACATTCCCGCATGTGGTTTTTAAAAATGTAATAACGAATTAGTCTTCATTTATTTTAAAATTTATTTTAGTTATGGATTTGTTCTCCTCTTATGACTGTGTTCTAGGAACTGGGCCTTGTCATTACTGGGACTCTGCCTGTCTTTAATCTAACAGAAGATGCAGAAGGAAAAAAGGTAAGCTATTACTTAAAGCTGGAAAGTTTCAGTTGTTCTTTGAGAGCTTGTTCACGTCGATTCCAATCAGGTGTACTCATGTTTCATGCATGAGCACTGGAACGTTTTCCGCTAGCAGCTCCTGCATGGTCAGCTGTGGAGGCCCCTAAAGTGGTGCCGCTATATTAGCATGTATATACCTCTGCAGACCCTACCCCTCCCTCAGTTCCTTCTTACCAGCCGTGATCATGTTGGAACCTCCTAGTTGTGTTGCTTTGGCAAGCTCTTAGTTCCTAGAAAATATTGATCTCAACTCATCTTCCGTCTTCTAATTCAAACAACTTTAAGAACAGGTGGGCAAATGCCCAAGGACAGTCAGCCCCTCTGAGTCACAGGGGTATGCCTAATGCCCTAGGCTTTACGTTGTGCGCTATGTGCGAACGGCCTGTGGCCTAACAGCCACCCTCACGATGCGTACCTTCACTGTTTAGGTGAAGAACACTGGATTAAGAAGTGCAAAATCTGCAGGAGTTTCAAGCCCCGTACCAGGAAGGACCAGAAGTATAAATTCCAGCAGCTTCTCTTAGAGGTGGCACTGAAACCTCCCCGGGCTGAGTAATCAGCACCCAAGGCCAGCTTTGTGTGTAGCGCCCCAGCCTCTGTGCCAAAAGCAGGTGCCACCAAGGACTCCCAGCACCAGACCGTGGCACTGCGACACTATTCCACTTCAGAGCCGCGTGGCTGGAAAGAGGGCAGAGATAGACTGTCCTAGAATCCATGCCTGTGGCAGAACCAGGCATACTGTCAAGAGTCCCCCATGCGGAAGGTCCAGCACTTGACATCAACTCCAGCCTTGGGGGCCATGCTGTTGAGTCCAGCATGTGACCTGTCACTGGGACACACAAGTCCAGTTCAGGTGTTGAACTCCCTGTCAACATCTAACACTTATGAGGGCACTTGGGACCTCATAGAGATTTCAGAGACCGTGGTGCCTTGGGTGATGGATAAACCACTGGTACTGCTAAGATCAGTTCACTTGAGGGGCAAGCCAGCAATTCTGTGGTGCTCCCAGTCTCTGCAACAGCACTGGGACAGATTATCTTCTTTGTCCTCTGATAGGTCATCCCTGCCTTCATTGCATGCCACACCAGTGGCTCCAGTGGATACTCCAGCGCTGAGCCTCCAGCACTGAGCTCAAGAAGGAAGGGTGGAGATCCAGAGAGAGCAACGCTGAGTGAGCTACAATGCTCAGTGTTAAGGTTGTGTTCTTGGTCCCAGATTAGGTCAAGATTGAGAGGAAACTGGCACCGTTCCAAGTTTCGACTGTCCTGGTATCAGTCTAAAACTCTGAGGACGTCCATCTGCATGGCACCACACTGGCACTGACATCATTGGCACAGTCGGTCGGACCACTGCTGTGGTCATCACAGTCGGAATCGGAGCCCAACTCAATGTCAACGAGCCATACCGACCATAGGAGATGTGATCCCTGGGCACCATGGCAACTGCAGTGGCTGCCCTCTGCACAATGGCCCTTCTGGACATTCTGGGCATAGCACCTGTCCCAGGATGCACCCAGGCTGGTGGTCTCCACGAGCCATCAGTCCTGATCTCCCAGCAATAGATGATTGTCAAGGACCTCTTAGGTCACTGCATCTCATGCCCCGGGAGGGAACAGCCTTCCAGCTGAGACCCTGGATCAGCCCTCATACCAAGGATGTCAGACTAGATCAAAGGGGGAGGCTCATTCCACCATCCCCCAGAGCCTTTGGGGGATCCCCTAGCACAGCATGCTGCTACTTCCTCCTCCTCAGATGAGGCTGTGGCAGGTACCTCCATGACAGGGCTCCCTTTGGTTGACCGTAGGGCATACAAAGATCTGTTCCGCTGGGTAGCCCAGATCATGAACCTCCCCATGGAGGAAATAGAGGAACCAGAGGGTCCCATGGTGAACATTCTATCCCAAGAGGGTCCATCGAGAGTGGCTCTGCCAATTATAAAGACTATTCAGTCTAAATACAACAATATGTGTTAGACCCCCATGTCCATACCTCCCACAGTAAAGGGTACGGAGAGGGTATACTTTGTCTCTTCTAAGGGATATAGGTTCCTCTTTTCCCACCCCTAGCCCTCTTCTCTTGTGGTATCAGCCGTCAATAAGAGACCGAGGTAAGGACATAGGCCCCGTCTCCAAGGCCAAAAAGCCAAAAAGATTGATCTCTTCAGCAGAAAGGTCTATTCTGTTAGGAGCTTACAGTTGAGGATCACAAACCAGCAGGCAACCATCAGTCATTATGTTTTTAAGTCATGGTAGGTACTCTCAAAATATAAAGCATCAGGAGTTTGGGGCCTTGTTGGAGAAATATCGCACCATAGCCAGGACCACCGTACAAGCGGTCCTGGATTTGGAGGACTCTGTGGTGAGGATGCTTTTGGTGGGAAAGAGCTGTTCTCTGAGCAGATGGACTCAAAGCTGCATTCCCACAAGGACTCCCAAGCGATCATGAAATCCTTAGGAATATACTCCCTGGCTTACCAAAGGTGCCCCTTCAGACCCCAACCTTCTTAGAAGAGGTTTGCACTCAGGCAGTGCCTAGAACAACAGCACAGGTAAAACAGGAACAATAATAGGAGAACTCCATCCCAACAACCTACCCAGGGGAACAACTCCTCTAAACCCCTCCAGGTCCAAAACAGGAAACTGCAGGGCATCTGCACTGAGGACAGAAAGTGCACTGAGGACAGTGCACTGAGGACAGAACACCAGACCTACTGGATCTCTCCCATTTGTTTTCGGACAGATTATCCCACTTCTGCCAAGTGTGAGCCATCATTACCTCAGACCGTTGGGTCCTCTACACTGTTGGGGTGGGATCTTCTCACAAGCATCTTCTACACCATGAGGTCCAATCGCTCCTAGACTTAGGTGAGATCCAAGGGGTCCTCCCAAGAATAAGGGGCAAGGGTTTCTGCTACCATTATTTTCTAATATTGAAGGCGAAAGGGAATTTAAGACCAATCCTAGACCTGAAAAACCTCAACCACTGTATGCGGAAAATGAAGTTCAGAATGGTCTCCCTGACCGTTATTATTCTCTATGTGGGTCCTGGTGACTGGTTCGCTGCCCTTGACATGAAGGACACTTATTTCCACGTATCAATCCTTCCATGTCACAGACACTACCTCAGATTTACAGTGGCAAATGAGCGCTATAAGTTTGTGGTGCTTCCCTTTGGCCTGTCCACTGCCCCACAGCTCCATCCATGTATTTACAGCTACATCCAAGTGTATGGCAGTGGCAGCAGCCTTCCTATTCAAGAGGAGTGTTCAGGTGTTTCCCTACCTGGACAATTGGTTACTGAAAGCAACCTCCCAGGAGCAGCTTCACATACATGTGAGACTCGCGTT